CTCCCGCTCCTACTCGATATGACAACCTAGTGCTCGATTTACTACTAGGTTGAGCTAGCTAACTAGGTAAAAAGGTACATTTACCTAGCTCCGCGTCGTAGATAACCGTCCGGTTACGTCTGTGTTGGAGCTAGCTCCTCTCCACAGACGATTTTTGCTTGGGTACATTCAAAGTACTTATATATGCCTTTTACGGCTGAGTGTCATAACTGTCACTCAGCCGTGTTATGCCTGAAAGCAGATCGTGTTATATTATCGATGTCTGGAATATTAAGTTTCTTCTCTCTTACAACTATAACTGTGCATTATTAAATTTAAAAAACAGAAAAATCAAACACTCGGCACGAACGATTCATTCAACTGAACCGAGGTGCGTTTGATATTATAGATACAGATTTTGTTTTTGATGATGTTGCCCTAATTTGTCCGAAAATAGGAAGTAAGTAATTTTTTCTAATTTGTGCACATCAAACTCTGTAGGTGTCGTTCTATTTGGGCTGTGGTTCTGTTATGGGATGTCGGTCTATTTTGTCCAGAGGTTTAATCAGAATTCAGATATCTGGCAGGTTTTGTGTGCACTGTTTCTGAGAAGAGTTCATTCAATATTAATTCAAACGTAAATATATTTAGTTTTCATCGTAAACACCCGTCTAATATTCGAGTGGCATATAAGATTCATAGCCAATAATTCCTTCTACGTGATATCGATTATTTTTGCTACAGATACGTTGTTCACAAGAATATTATTCGGTCTTCTATCACGCTGAATTACAGAATGATTTCTGTGTGTCTCTTAGATAAGTCATATTTTTCGGCGGTACTCTCAGCAGTAAAACACGCACTTCAAAACCGCAGTATTTTCTTGACACCATACAGTAATAAAGTTTTAGAGATCTTGACTTCTTGAATTTTCTCAGTAAGACCTCAATTAAGAAAATGTAAGAATTCAAGGAATATCAAGAGGTCAAGATCTTGAACATCTTGTAATCCCTTGACTTCTTGTACCGATATCTTGAAAATTCTTTAATCATTGTTTTGTTTGCGAATTTCCATCCTTCTTGTACTCTCGAACGATCTGGACGAGATCGATGTAAACTGTGCGAAAAATGCGTTCAAAAGTTTAACGTTTTAAAAATGCCAAAAGTGTTTTTATCACTCAAGTTCTAGCGGCTGATATGGTACGTTCTATATCATCTTTGCGCTACAAGTGCCACATTACCTGACTAGTTTTGAGTGGTTTTAAGCTATATCTGCGAGATGATAGAAGAAGTAGATATGCCTTATTTGATACGGCTCTGAGAAAAGACGAAAATTGTGAGAACCTACATCCCGATTGGGATATACAACAAAGCAGATACCCCAATCTGGCTACATCTTTATACTCCAATTGGGATATATAGCTCGATCGGGATGTGCTTCCCCACCGTCCTGCATAACTCTAATTATTCAATTACAGACAGTATCCGCTACTTATTAATCAATCTGTAGTGAGTGCTATAGCCTAATGCTTTGGAGAATAACAGGTGGTATCTGCTCACCACCTCATACTAACGGTATTTGATTAATACAAACGTGTATTACGCTTTTATGAATTTTTTCACTTTTCTTACTCTTTTTGTTTAATGTTCCTGCATACATACAATAATATACCGATTAACGCCATTTACAAACGCATAGTTTATAAATCGATCAGAGAAGAAGGAAACAAGTTTACATTTGTTGAATAAATAGACTGTCTCAAGTCGAGAATAAACTGAAAAACTTTGTTCAAACGATCTTTTAGTGTATCAAGCAGTGAAACATGGAAAGCCAAAAAGTTGAGAAGAAGGTTTCGAAAACTGTCTTTCTTGTTCTATCCTTATCATTTTCAGTTGAAACTTTCAAACGATTAAGACCACTGTTTGAGATACACATAATAAAAGTTTCAGCCCAATACGCCATTGTTTTTTCGAGAAAACTCTTTGAAAACATTTTGGAGAAAAATCGAAAATTTTGATAACTTGAAAAATTCATAAAACCTCCTGCTAGAAGCAACTTGTGCACGAACCAACTTAGGGTATATCTAACCATGATATCTCCGGTCGAAACGGTTTTTGACACCTCGGGTAGTTCCCGCGTTAGTAAGGCACTAAATTTGTGGCGTATAAACGTCAGAAATTGTGTGTTCCAGAATAGCTAAGACTCAGTGCTACTTAATCCTACTTTGGTAGAAAAGCTTTCTTAAGAAAATGTAGGTAATGACTCAATTGTAAAGGATGGTAAGGGAGATAGAGAAATTTCCTAAAATTTTGAGCATCTCCGACATGAGTTATACTACTATCCGAAAGGTATTCAAAAAATATAGCTATTCAACATATCATGAAATTTTGATATTTGCACGCTGAAAATACATTGAGGAGATTCAAACCGCCATCTATAGGTGATGTACTGAAGAAACTTCCAAAGAGGAGAACACTTTTATAAAACTTACAATATTAAAGCATATGATCCGCTACATGTGTTTCACGTCTTCTCTTGCAACAGAGTGACGAAGAGTATCTGTTTTTTCAAGTACAGTATGAGTTAGAAGTCCGTGGCATGCGAATAGTAGCTTAACCCACCCAGTCTGTTGACTTCCGAAACATTGCACCCGAAATCCAACTATACACCTACACAAAAATAAACAGTGATAAGATTGGTAATTGAGATCCGTCTTCTGAATACAGTTTATTCAATAACAATAAATCGGCACTTCACAGTCCGATGAAACATTGAAGAACAGTTTCTAAGTATCATTGTTATTTTTATACTATTTAGACCAGAGACGACAACGGTCGTGGTTTTTTAAACGAACAGTCATAATCTTATCTTCATTAGGCACGATAAATATAAATGGTAGTAATTACAACGCAAACGAATGTTATGAGAGTGAGGAAGAATGGCTGAGAGACAATCAGCCAGATATTAGCTCATGTTTATAAAAAATAATGGGTTAAAAAAGTAAGTTATCCTTTCTTCTTTGTTCTTCTTAATACAAGCAGCTTCGTGATTTTCAAACAAATAAATACGAGATAAATAATCCAATATAAAATCGGTGGTTGGTATAATCCTCTACTTACTCATATCATCAGTAGATTGTTCTTATCTCATATATACAACTTAAACCGCTTTCCTTGCTTGTCACTATTGAATTTTCCAGATTTATCACGTATATATACTTGAAATCGTTGCTTTTCCTAGAAAATTAGTTCTCAGCAAAGGATAAGATATGAGAGGATGAATTGGATTGCTGTTTTTGTTAAAAAAGTGCGTGGGAAAAATCAGCTATACATCATCAAAGTGAAGAGATTAATCTATCTGTTTGATAACATAAGTAATTGATCAAAAGAAGAGTAATCGGTTTTTTTCGGTGAGTGTGTTAGTTAGTTAGTTAGACCCGCTACCATTTCTGGTGTAGGGTGAGAATAAAACATCAGGAAAGTGAGAGAAAACGTGTTTATAATCAGCAACAAATGTTACCACATTCGAAGAATAAAATCGCAAATTCTTCATTACAGAAGGAAACGCACTTTAAACAACGAAAGATCATTTGAAAAACTGGAATTACCGAAAGTTTGTGAAATTACCATATAACCGTAAATGTGTTAACAGACTTCTTCACATATGTGACAAGGAAAAAGTATTTGTATTTAGGCAAAACATAATCAAGACACGCCGGTACCGACTGGTGCCGGTCACCGGTATACCAGCCGGCACGGGCGCCGGTCCGGTACCGGTACGAAGTTCGTATACCGGTGACCGGTACCGATATCGCATTTTTGATACCGGTTACACCCCTGAAGCAGTCTGCTTTTCTTTTCCACTGTCATTCCATAATCATCAACTTCTAAAGTGAAATAGTTCATTATCTTCATACGTCAATGGTATATTTCGTTGTGTAAGATAAACATTGTTTTTAAATGATTCTATTGTTGTTGATGGACACAATGGAGAATCTTCATCTCGATCATAATAACGGGGAATGTAAAACTCAATACGAATGTCAAACTTAATTTTCTCAATATTTGTTACGCACATATTTGGCCACCAAAAACCATTCTTAAGATCAAATCCAGATTCCGCCGTCAAGCCTTGTTCGAGAACGATGCCAACCTTTTCACACCTACATGTCGAGG